AAATAATCTATATATTTCATAATGTACACATATATAATTTAATTATAGATTCATTCTCCATTTAAACTATATAAACATAGCCTAAAGGGATACATTCTCTGGACTGCTCTAGTTTAGCCATTTAGAGGATTCTTCATATGATTCTGGTCACGTTCACGTTTGACACGTAAGGGATCCTCGATGTTGGGATCCTGAGTTGCTTCGCAGACGCACAAACACGCTCGCCTGCCTCTGTTAACGTCTCCGGGCACTGGCCAACACTAACGGCAAATTAGCGAGGCTCGTATCCATAACGCAGGGGGCAGGCCACGGTGGTATGTCCCGCTCCCGCGCGCCTGTGATCCCGACCTTGAAGACAGGCACAGCGACATGCGGTTTGCAACGTGGCAAGAGGGTGGAAATAGGATTTGAAATGCTGGGAGCGGAATTTAAACTCACTCCGGCTGCAGAATGCAAACAGGCGGCCGTAATCTGCGCAAACGCAGGCTCTCCTTCAATATTACGTTTGGAAAACGAAGCAGCTCAAAGCAGACTGCTTAATCTAATAAATTGATTTGCAGTCTCCTTAGCAGTGAGCTGACAATGCTGTTTCCCCCGCAGCTCGGTCTCTGGCTGCCGCTTACTGCTGTAGAGCTCGGCAATGGACAAAAGACGCCCCAATAGTTTTGAACTGTTTTCTTTGTGGCGTACAGTTACAATTCACTCAGGCATCATCATTGGTCACCTAAGGATTAGGGCCTGTAACTTGTAAGCCCTGTTTTCCTTTTTTTTCATTTCTATTCTTTGACCAAAAGCTCCAATTCAGTAGAGATAAGGAATTAGCGCTGCCCGCAAATGAAAAACAGATTATCCTTGGATATGAACTCCCATGTTCTTGTGCAGCCGGACAGCTGTACGGAGGCTAACAATGGCAGGCCGGCTCTCTGTCTGCCGCCGTCATCTGCGCCGGCAGATTGCAGGCAAGAGGGAGGAGTGGAGAGGCCGCGCTGCGCCGCCACTCTAGGCGTACGTTCGAGAAAAAAGAGGGACAGGATTAACGCCTGTCTCTGCAGACCCCAGCTCACTGCCCCCCTGCTTCTGCACAGGGAAAAACCCGCCACCCATGGCTCAGCTGCTGAAATACGTCGATGGCCTTTTAACAAAAAAGAAAAACAAAAAAAGAAACTTAATCCATTCTCTGTGTAGACGTTCTAGAGTGGAGCGAGAGGCCCGCCGAAGCCTCTCACGGCAGAATGCGGCTTGACTCCTCACACCCCTGCTCTGTGCTGATCTCACACGGCGAATCAGCTCTGGCATGATCAGGTACAGCCTCCCGCCGAAGCGAAACATGCTGTAACGTCCGGCTGACGACAAGAATAAGACATGTGGAAGACTGCCAGGCTGGCATGCTCTGCTCGAGGGGGGGTGTGGCACCTCGCAAAAGCGATTCCTGCTCAGAATACATGGCCATTGATGCCAACACCATCTCTTTCCTTCTTTTGGGAAGGAGGACGGCTTCCCCCGGATTTGGCCAGCTGGCTGGGCCTATCTCCTCCCTGGCAGGAGGCCCCTGAGACACTCTGTGTTTGCCCCACTCACCCACTCCCCCCAGGTGGGTACTTCCCCTTGTTTAAGCCACTGTCACACGGCGGACTTGGCGTATCTGTTAGGCCCGCTAACCCATCAGCTTAGAGAGAGCCGACGAACCCGGCACACATCAAGCTTTCATGTCAACTGAAAAGCAAACATGGTTATTGTGGATATTTTTAAATAACTACAAACAGGATTCAAAGGCCGCGCGGCACCCAGGGGATCAGTAACAAACCAAATGCACTGCAAGAACGGTGACCCTTTTTACCCGGATGGTCGAAGGTGAGAATCAAAAACATAACATTCATAAACAAAAAGAGCTGCGATATGTAATCCCAGAACATCTGCTGAGCCTGCCAATCGCGCGGGCGGCTACACCCAGAGGAAACCAGGTGTGCACCAACACCTGCAAACATCAGGGAGAGTCAGACCAATTAAAAGCAATTAAAGTCCGGTCAGCCGGGTTCAGGCTTCCTGTGGGACAGGCTGGGGGGGCACCCTAGTGCCTCTCATCCATGTTTAATCCGAGAAGGTGCCCTCAAGCGGCTACTTTCACCCCCTTGTCTCATTTAGCAAACACACAGAAAAATCGGCTATAGCCCTGCTATCAGGCCTGGAGTCCAACAGCCAAAGCTGTGTTGTCACAGGACACAGGGGTCCTCCATCCATCGCAAGTGGCTTAAACCACCATGTGGCACCGTGGAGTCCACACTAAGGAACTGCACTGCTCTATTATTTTTTTCCAAGTGCTTCATAAAACCAGCCCAACAACCGGAAAATCTCCGGGAACCGAACCGGCTCGAAGAACAAGCCAGACTCTCCCAAGGCGGGCCGAAGCCTGCCAGTGGCGAGGATGCCTTTTAACCCACTTAGCCCGATCGGATAGGGGCTAATCAGGCAGCCCGCTGGCCAGATGTGTGGAATCGAGGAACGAGGCATGGGCCGGGTCAGCCAGGGCCGCTCCGTCGAGCTCAGATCTGTGTCTAACTGCTAATAATCCGGCGATAACCTTTGCTGTGTCCAAAATAATTAATGCAACACAGGCAAGTCCATTTGCTGATAATTAATCTGTAAACGTCACAAGCTGTCCGGTACTGGTATCTTAATCCCTTAAGTCTCAGAGTCGTGAAATTAATATTATGATGTTATAAAAATTAACAAAAAAAAAAACAAAAAGTCAGATTTAAATTTCCTCTTTCCGACAGAAGATTATGGTGCTGAGGTCTGACACACTTGAGCAAAGTGTTGTCATAAAATACTTACGACGCAGTTAACAGAGGTTTTAAATACGCCGTTTACGTAATTAGCTTGTGTAATTAGCTGATGCACTAAAAGTTTTTTTTCTTCCTACGAGTGTTAAGTACATATTTAATTAATAGCAAAAGTAGACGCACTGTGAAGAATATTTCCTTGGGAACAGTCTACTGTTATCTATTCATCCTGAACAAAAAGGTAAGAGATCACAGTCCTGTTTACCTAACCATTACCACAGTAGCAGCCTGTCAGAGTAATAGCATTTTGTAGCAAATAAGCGTGTCGATTGTTTCTGAATAAATGCCATTAGTCCCTGCGATCATGTCAGTTAGAGTCATAGAATAATAATAGGATGAATTTGCAGCACAATTGAATGCCAGCATCAGTCAGAAGCAGAATGAGGTCCGGGCAGGTGGAGAGACTGTGCCACAGCAAAGACGGACTGGACACAAAGTGACAGAAAAGGGGGACACCTGGACAGGGCTGAGACTCTGAGCTGGTCTGAACTGCAAGCAGGAAAAAAACAGAAACATTTTTGCATCATTTAACAATGAGTGAAAGGAAATATGAGAGATTCTTTATTCGGTAAATGCAGAGGGTCAACAAGGCCTTATCTTCACAGCGGCAGTTGCCAAAAGCTCGCCGTCGCCTCCTATTGTTTCAGGCATCTATCCAACGCCACTCAGAAAGGTATGCGCTTCACCACCAGAACAAACAGCCGCTTTCTCTCACCCTTATTGTCACAGAAAACTGTCCTCCTGGAAGGGCTGAGCTATCCCAGAAACAAACACACACACAGAAGAAATTATATGCAGAAGTCCATAAAGAGCATGAAATCATTCTGCCTGCACCCTGTAGGTTAAACAGATCATTGCATACCTAGTTGAGGACAGCGCTGTGCCAGACCATAATACTCTGGCCTGTGCTGGAAGGCTCCTTGCAGGAGACGCCAGGCTTGTACCATCTTGCATTCTGTTGCTGTGCTTTCACGTGATTGAGGAGGATTTTCCGAGTTGTCAATCAATTATTTCCTCGGTGAGACACCTCTTGTTTTGATGCAGTATGGGGCCCCCTTGATCTGGCGTGACTAAAGAGAGCAGCCCAGCAAGTTTTGGATCTTCCCTAAGAGACTAGGAAGGCCGCTGTCAGGCCGCATCGGTGTCTGTGGCATCTCGGGTCTGCTGAGAGCGGCTCCTCGCCATTGGAGCACTGCTCAGGAACGCCACAAGGGAAACCGAGTCCAGGGGTGTCAAACACAGATTGTGTCAGCTGAGAGAGGGACGTACCTGAGAATTTACAACAATGTTTCATTCATGGGGGGGGGGGGGGGGGAGTCAGTCCCATGTTCCATATCTTGAGAACGAACCACAATTCAAGGCACTTTATTCTAGTCTTCAGCTCTGTATGGGTCTGGAGAGCCATATTTCATCAAACACTTTTAATGCATCTTTTCCTCATTTGTTTCTTTTATGGAAGTTTCTTTGAAACACCCACATCTGCGCATCATCTGGGCTGAAGTGCAGCTATGATGGGGCAGGGGGGTAACATCGGACCAGCATCCATTAACACCTGACATCCATTAACACCTGACATGTGACCGTAAAGAGGAAGTGACAGTTCTCTTTCATATAAATGTTCGCTCTGTGATGCAAGTGTAACAGCAGCTGTCCTATTCGCATTTTTAAGTAAAATATCACTGAATCAAGCCCCACCCTTAAGGAAGATGCGGTGAATTGTGATTATGTTGCAAAGTTTAGGGAAGCAAAAGACCCAATCATTATATTTTAATAGGAAGTGCTGATTTTTTTTTTCTCCGAAAGAAAAACCAGCAGGATATGGAAGCAATGACATGACACAATGACTTAGCTCCCTCTAGTGATCATTTTCAGTATTAAGCTATTATTGGTGGTTTGAAAGGGCTCAACAAGCAAGCCTTGTTTATGAAAATCTAATCTGCAGTTTTCAAACACAAGGCATGAAAATTATGTTTTGTGTTACACATCGCTCACAACAAATGTAATCTGATTGATACATTTGTACAACAACAAAATGAAAATTATGACATCTGCTTATTTCCTATTTGCATTTAAACAAATTACTGTCATAGTGTATATAGACAGGATGTTTGCTGTACATTTTAGAAATTCTAGTCACATAAAAATGATTCTACACCTGGGTTTGAGTAGACTTCTGGATGGTATTTAATGACATTTTCTCAACCAACACGTCAATGAAAAACTGATATCCCTTTCTTACACCTTGTTTATCCAATTATATAGCTTATTTAATACAGCTAAATATTTTACTGGGGGAAAATGCTTAATACTTTCCTCATGGGAATAACACAAGATCTGAACTGGCAACTATAAGGTCTATTTAAAAATATCAATATTTTTAACAGTTAACTGTTACTTCCGAAAAAAAAAAAAAAACATGTATAATGTTTATTTGGCTACTAAATCCCGAATAAAAACAAAACACTGGAATACTGTGAAAAGACATTAAGCCCTGACAGAGAGAGAATCCATGGGCTTCACTGAGGGGCATTGGGGGACCTTCACTTTATAAATGCAGAGGAGCAAAATGTTAACGTGCAATGGCACACTCTCTTTCACACACACTCACGGTCTCACTCACTCACTTACTGTAGTACAGTGAGTAATATCTAACAATTAATCAGCTGATTAATAAGGTTTTAAACGCTCAAAATAAGACAGTGACAGATTCTATTAACACTTTTTTGATACCGAGGATGATAATTGTCCAATGAACATCTAATTTGTCAAAAGCAGGCAGGAAACACGACATGAATTCAGCTTCCATTCAGTGCCTGGAATAGCTGCTTCCCCATTAACTGTTACATTATTTAATAATGGAAATAACGGAAGAATCCAGCTTTAACTTAATAAAGCTGCGTGCTAAAATCTGCAGCTACAAAACTGCATGACAATTTCAGCGACTTTGTAACAGCATCAGGGTGAAGCACAATAACTTTATCATGGATGCAGGCAGAGGAGATGCGGACGACATGCCTGTCAGAGGATAAATAAATGCGACAGTGAGAGACACACAGCTGCAGCACATGGGGAGGACACAGAATTACATCAGCGTGTAATCAAGAATGACGCAGCACGCGTTCAAGACAAGATTAAGCTAAATATAACCCTATAAACGAGCCTCGAGTTGAATCCTGCTCTTACTCTGACAAACTGAAAAGCTGCAAGGCCTAGTCAGTATGAAATGAAGGAGGCATCTTGTAAATCTGAGTCATCAGCATCCAACACATCAATCCCTGGCCGGAATGTGCCAAGTTGTAGACACACACATGTAGAGGGGGTCTAAGGTACCACGTAGGCCTTATCCAAACCCGGACTCATAGAGCTGAGAGGCCACAGGAAATCTACTTTAAGGTAGTGCAGACAGAGGTACCTTAACCACTAACAGAGTAGTCCCTACAGTTACTGTGCAGAAAAACATGCAGGAAAACGCATATTAAGTGACGAGCCATCTTCTCAGACACAAGGCACACTGCGAGATACTGCATCAGCATCCATTCCTCTGAGCCTCGTCACAGTGACATATGCTTACTTTTATAATATGCATCAACGTCCTTCTGAGAGGGGCAAATTGTAATTCCTTTCCATTCCACTCAAAGAAATTAACTTTCTGTAAATGGGACAGGGGAGAAAAACCCGCAAGCTTATTTTTTTCTTCCATGGAAATTCTGACTAATGGTGTTGTAATAAAGATGTTGGGCTAAAGGCTCCTTTTGGAAAATATAATTATGAGCCTTCATTCGTTGAAGCATTCAGAAGATCAGAAATGCTTCCGCTTTTCAGGTTTCCCCTTGAACTCCATACATCACTGCCAGCACTCGTTTTGCAGGGGGAAACACTTTCATTATTTCAAAGGTACTGCTCACGTTCACTTATGCGATGGGGAGCAGCACTTATGATAGATGCAGGAGCAACCATGTATCAGTGCCGAGAAAAGGGGAAAATGGTAGGATCTGAGATTTTTACATCACTGCAGGACGTATTGTTACTGCCAGCCTGTAGCCGGGAACATATTGTGTGCTTATATGTTGCACTTATGTGCTATTTGCATACCTCTAAATGCTACCCAGATATGATTAGCCAGGTCAGTTTCCAAGCCAGCTAAATAGTGAGCTTTGTCTAGAGTAAGCACAGCTGTAATTCTAGTGACTTATGTTAGAGATAAAGGGTATTCAGGTGAATTAAATGCAGCGGTCAGCATCAGCAGCCTTTTAACGTCATCCTGTTTTCTATGCAAAATATCGTATTTGTTTGCTTTAAGTTTTTGTTTCACAGACACACTATTATTTTATTCTTTTTATCGATAGGTCTTCCTGCCCAATGTTGTCGACATGGTTTTCCATCAATTACAGGAAAAAAAATCTGTATATTAAGGAGGACCTTTGTAGAATTTGCTGTTCCTGTAAGGAGAGCAGGACTCAGTCCTGCATATGGTGCCACAATCCACCACAGGCCTCCTCCACAATGCCCGACCCCCATAATGCACATTAAACACCAACCATAACAAGAATGCACAAGCAGAATCAAGTAAGCTAGCTCTAACTAAGGAAATACTCCTACTTACATGAAAAAGAGTCAGCATTGTTTTAGGAAATGGTGAACCTCAATTTCCAATCCACAAGCCACTTAAAGATTACACTTTAGTATTTAGATTTAAATATCCATAGACTTAAACTGTTCAAGCTAAAACAGAGGGGCATAATTAAACTGAGCTACTCCATGGAGTGAAAAGCAGCAGCATAAAAGCTAAACGACCTTCAACTTCAGCTCCACCTCCTCCAGAGTCATCCACATCTGTCCGCTACTTATTATTTATTCCTCCGACTTGTCGGCCTGACTCACGAGCATGAGGACCTCGAAGGTGCACGTCTCTCCGCAGACTATGGAAAATGAAAGACCCCCCTTGAGTTTTTCTGCCCCCCGGCCCTCCAAAGCGCAGAAGCAAACATTGTCATGCATAGAAACATGTGCCCGGGAACACGCTGCAGCGATTAATCAAGCGTCTTCCTCCAATTAATTCACCGGGGCCCAGGGGTGAGGAGCACCTTGCAGCCTCTCATCCCACCTGCTGCTTGATAAACAAAGCATTCTCCTGCTCATCTCACTTGTGGGTTTTGGGTGTTAGCTCTGCCATCTCCTGCCACGTTTTCCTGTCAACTTGCTGCTCTCTGCTGGAGTTCTGCACCATCATCATCGACGGAAGTTTATCCGGTCCTTTCTGTCCCAGCCAACACTGTAAAGTAGGGTAAACGTTGGATGGGCTGACCATCCACCACAGGTACCTCATTTAGGTGATGCACAGAAACATGGAGATCCCACAACATCCAAATAGCAGCTGGAATGAAATGGACTGGGTGAAGTGTCAGACAGAAATCACACCTGCTAGGTCACCTTATGACCTTCTGTCAGAACAAAGTTTTCAGTACAGATATAGATATGTAGCTGCATGCACAAATTTCGTTTTCATAAAGGAGACATAACTACAATGAAGACGAAAGATTATAAGGAATCTGACAGAGAATACAATTTAGGATAATTATAGGAAGGAACAGCCTAGAGGGAGAGGATGACGTCAAATAAATAACAAACGTACTACCTATCCACACAAACGGATTTGTCACATCAAACTCCGCAAGCACTACACTCCTCAACAGAGCTGTACTCAGCTCATAATTGTTTTTGTCTCTGGTTTTTCTCTGCCAAAGGCCAGAAATAATCACATAACAGGGCAGCTCAATCCATGGACTATGTCACATCCATAGGATAACAACCGGAGAGAAAAGAGTTTCTGAATAGCTAAAGTGGGCAAGTTCCTATTCCTCTCAAAAGACTGAAGCAGAGTGAGATGGTCGGCAGCTCAACGGGAATGATTCTGAACCAAAAGTGCGCTTGTAGATAAGCGGTTTTCATCAGATGTTCATCGGAAGAGGCCCCCACCTTGTGCGCAGAGCCATGTCATTCCATTACACGCATATTAAAGACAAGACGGGAGCAAATGCGGGCGTCTGCGACAAAAAACAAAGCAGCCGATGTGGAGAGGAAGCATAAAAATCGCATAATGAGCGAGACTTCAGCGGCGCGCCTGCAGTTTACAAGGAGCTTCAGAAGGAAGCCATTAACCGGCTCTTCCACGTCGCGCTTTATTTTTGGCGGCCCTCGTCGCATGATTCATGAAAGACCGGCGAAAGGCTAATTGTTCAAATTAATTCGCATAAAGTAGCAGGCAGGAGATAAGGGCATTACATCTGCAGAACCCTGGCATGGTCTAGGGTGCCAGCTGCTCCGAGCTAGCCCCACTGCCAGAAATTAACAACCACAAACATTAATTAATATACTTTTTGTTGTGTTATTAATTTACATCAAAAGGCTAAAGATTTTTTTTTTTTACAAAAAAAAGCTAGCAAGGAGAACAAACCATGATAATTAAAATTAATAGTCTCAGTGTAGCATTATTATACCTGAAAATGGTTAAATGGGGCAATAAGTGAGTAAAATGGAGACTTCCAAAGGGAGGCTAAAGTTTTGACAGTCGCCATTAATCTCCACAGTAACATGACCATCACAATTAGAGGGGATTCGGCCCTGTCACTCTGCTCTGATCTGTCACATGACCTGTCCTGCTCCATTTGACAGTGCTCGAGGCAAACTGTGAAAGAAGGCCTCGGGGAAGTGGCAAGGGGGGGTCCCAAGGAATTCTGGGAAGCATGATAATGAGAGCATGTAGACGGGCCCTGAGAATAACACTCCATCATCCCAGGAGGCCATTCCGGGATGCATACAGCAGGAGACGTCCAGGATGTGATGCCAACCAATCACAATACACACACTCCCACAAACACAGGGCAGCTAAGGTCACAAACAGTGCAGTTTCCTACAGTTCTACACAAGTCACAGCAAACAGGAATTTAGAATCTAGGAATACTCTAGAAGCAATAACCTGCATGCATTGTACACTGCAAGCGGCAACAAGCAATGTTAGACTGGAATTTAAAAAATTTATTAATACTCTAATGTAGCATGTGATTCTGTGGTCTGTTCATAGTCTCTGTAATAATGTACAGACATCTAAAACAGACTACCCAGCTCTGAAATGTCAGGTTTTTGCTTTTTTGCTACCTTTTTTGCTTATGGATGACATACAGTGGAAGATGTGGGGGGGGGGGGCAGTTATCAGATTTGTGCTTGGGATGAGAGCCAGCGAAGCAAGGTGAAGCTTACGCCCTCCGCTGGTGCGTTCAGGGGGAGACAGACGCTCTGGTTGGAGCCAGGAAGCCGGCAAAGTGATTAATTCACCATTTAAACATGCTGCAAGGTGTTTCATGCAGTATTCCTGCTCAGCCAAGCTGTGCGCTGGATTAAGTTTTCAGGAGATATCGAGTCCTGTCCTCCGCTCACTTTCCATCACACAGAGCTCTCCAAACTCAGGGTGTAGCTCCATATTTCACAAGGTGGATGTACTAATAATTTGTATGTGCATATTCCATACCTCAGAAGTCAGTTGCTGGAGATTAATTTAATCGTGATGCTGAGGCCGTCTGAGGAATTACATTAACAGCTGTGCACGTTCACTTTGGCTGCAGTTCATGATCACCCATCTGAGCTGATTACTTTACGCTCAGCTTGGCTGATGCCTGAGAAAGGAATAAGGAAATTGTTCTCCCTCACAGACGGCAGGAACCGACACACAGGGAAGCAGAACAACTGACCGAGCAACATCTCCACAACAGATGTTGCTGTTAAAGAGTGTTCTGTCCTTTCCGGTTTAGGTGTGACTGCAGGTTTTGCAAACAGGACCCTCTCAACAAGGAGTTACGCATTTGGCACAAAGCTTGGCTATTTGAGAAACGTGCACAGGCTGGGAAAACCCTGGATGGAGACTTTTCTTCACAACCATAAATTCCCCACTTGCTACTTTTGATTCCTTAGATCTTCAGGTTTATAAATCAAATCGCCTCACCACCATCACTAATTATGGCCCTTCCTGAGAATCACTACATCCTCGGTTACATCCTAAACATTTCCCTTCTTGCTTGGATCTTCCAAGTAACCACACAAGCAACAATACGCTCATCATTGCCATTAAAATCAAATTATTAGATCAGGTCACTGAGAGCCCATTAATTACTGTAATGAAGTCTGCCGTAAATGATCAACAATGGCTTCAGAGTGTTACTCATTTCTTCAGAAATAATTTCTTAATGTTCAGCTAAGGCCATGTGTGTCACAATATCTCTTTTAAACTCTGCAGGCTCTTGATCCTACTGCCTGTTCAAATCTTCAGGTTTATTCTTGCCTTGCTGGATAGTTTTCCAAATGTTTTTCCCCCAGTATAGAGGATGTTTTATCCTGTTTTTTTTTTCAGGCTAGTGGACAACAATGATTTGAACTGACAATAAACTGGGCTTAACTGCCGGGTCAAAACACTCCTCATGATGAGGTGACGGGAAAACAGCTTCCTGCCACAGTGTGTTCATCTGAGGGGCCAGACCTGACATTTTATTATTATTATTAAGCATTACATTTCCCACTGCTTATCAGCAGGGGGCGCTGTTCTTCTTTACTCAGTCTGAATAGTGACCAAGTGGGATTTGCTTCTCATACCTATATGGGTCAAAGTTCTGGTTGAACATTTTGATTTGATTTCTCCACTCTGGCATTGCATTTAGAAAACGGCCCAGAGTTCAGCAGCCTTAAACTTAGGCAAAAAACGAGTTGAAAAATATAAAACTTTGCTCCTGAAATATTATTTTTGATAGTTACACAATCTGTGCATTTCATGAGTTTATGAGCTTTTGTCATTATAATGCAGTGAATGTAATACAATCACAGAAATGGCGGTGCATGGGTGTCACTAAATCAGAGGAATGGGGTTGGCGAAAGCCAGCTGGACACATGAGAATTCGCCGTGTGCAATGCAGCTAGTAACAAAACCCTCTAATGTTTCCCAATCCGTTCCTCAGGGACCCACAGTCGATCCATGTTTTTGCTTCCTTTGAGCTCCCTACCAGACAGTCCACATTTTTGCTCCCTCCCAGTTCCCGGGAACAAAAACGTAGCCTGTCTATGGGTCCCCGAGGACCGGATTGGGAAACGCTGCTCTAATGTGGTAGTTTATCAGGACGCTGCCCAGGCGTGTGGCTATGCCAGCCCATTTGGGAGGGGGGGGCTCATTCACATTCATAAACCTCACATGTGGAGTCACTGCGTCCCGGCGGACTTGGTTACGAAGCCGTGGGCCGTCGCGGCTGTAACTCCTCTGCCACACATACAAACACCGCATAATTGATGTCAATAGCTTTAGGCCACACCATAGTCTATGTACAAACATCTGACATATTTCATAACTGGGGGGGGGGTTATGTTTCTGTGATATATGTAACACAGGCTCAATGTGATTATATTTCCAGCTGCAAGAATTTCCAAAGGTGAACAGTATTTAGTGTTATTATTTATTAAGCTAGTTAAGTTCTGCCATGAATCAACTTACATTTCATAGTTATCACCCACAGCAATGGGAGAAAATATGCCCACCAGACAGATTGCTGGAACCCCCATTTGCCCGTTCTTTGAAAACCGGAGGTAAGGGACAAAATTGCAGCTGAGGAAGCTAGAGGATCCCGAACGTCACCACAGACTAAACCAAAGTGCAACTTGTATAAAAATGTATCTGAGATGGTTGCTGAAGGAAAATGGAATGTTTTCAGCTCCGAATGAAATATCCACAGACGCTGAGGTGAAATTAAAATTATAGAAGCCATGGAGCAACCTTTTAGAAGTCATAATGACAGCTGAACTGACATTGCTATTACAGGAAACATTGTGCAAGCAGGGAAGTAAGTAGCGTAACATTAAAAAAAATGAACGTGCTCTGCAGAGCCTGGGTTTCGTTCTCATGTCGAAGAGCACACGCTTCATTGGCTTTAAGGTAAGGGCCTGATACCAAGGCTGCCTGGGTTTCTAACACCACAATCACACTTTGTTAAATTAAGCCAAGAATGTCTGCGTCAGGGCCCTTTATAATAAATTGAACCCAGTTAAGCTGTGGACATTTCACTCCATGCTCATTTTTCATGGGAAAATCCAAGTGAGACAGCTGACACAACGTAAAGGGTAAAATCCCATTTATTTCAAACTGTTCACTTGATCACAATGAAATTGACTGATTACCAATAATTAACATTAATGATATAATCTTTAGATTTGGCATTCTGATGACACCTACATATGCCCTTATTGGCTTAACCCCTGCATGGTCAGAGATTTTGTTTGTTGAGGGTTAAACAAATCAACAATGTGCTGAATTGTTCGCTTACAGAGCCTTTGGCATTTAAAGACCTACATTGTGGTTAAGGAATCACAAGGAAAGGAGGCCACTCAACATATTTACTGATGAGTTACTCATAATTCTATTCTCTAAAAAGCCAAATAATGTTAATATATTTTCATAAAAGCTTATTATCAGGGATTATCAGTTGTAAGATCGAAGACCAACAATCACTCCACAAGGATTTGTCTACTGCCATTTCAATATGCCTGTACAGAAAGGTTGGAATTAAAAGATGATCCTCAATAAAAACGTCCTACTGTATTTGAAAAATGAGCTTAAGCCCCACTGATGGCCCTAAGACACAACATAGACCATCTTGTCACTGCAACCAGTTAGACAAATGCAATTAGTACATGGTACAGAAACAGACATCAGACAACTGCAACACCCTTATTGATAGCACTGATGTCTAGTTTCTCAGTCTCAACAACAGAGCCAAATTTTAAGTCTAAATATAATCTTTCAGTGTCTGACATTGTAGATATGATCCAGACATCAAAAAGATCAAAAAACGTCTGATCCTTATTCTATAAATAAAATTAATCGTCGCCAAGCACAAACAAAACCTGTTTCCAAGTTCACAGCCAGTGCCAGCAAGACTGTGGTTAAATTTGCTTCTTCTGATGAGAGGATGACTCACTGATGTTTGTCAGTAATACCTTCCAACAGTCATAGTGAAAATTAATACAGAGAGGTAAAATACCCTCTCCTAACAGCTATGCCGATCCCCAAAAAGTCACCTGTTGTGCTCAGTGTCTAAGAATCCAATACAGCAACTTCACGCCCATTATTGGCCCTGAAAATAACTCGCAGAGTGAGCCAGAGGCAGCAGTAGCAGCGTGACTAGTGCGGACCCTATGATTCCCTTAAATCAAACCAAACGTGGTCTTATTAGGCTGCCCCACTAAATCAATCTAAATCTAAGCATAACAACTCCCTAATCAGGTGGTAGGGAGAATAATAGGTTGTCATGCATGAGATAAAATAGGCAATCATGGAATGTTTTCTTTAATTAGGCTTGCTAAAGTGGAAGAGGAGTCCTTACATTCATCATAGGCAGGTGGAAAATGAGTAGAGTTACTGGAGGAGAGGAGGCAGTGAGCGAGATGGCGTGGTTCAAACCATCAAGATGATCTCTCTCTTTCAGCACATGGCAACAGAGTGGCAAAAGACAACCAGGGCTTCCAGTTATAAACATTTCTCCCTTTGCTTGTTGTGGAACTTTAAATATGTATTACTACAACAATCTGAATGGACGATGACAACAGCCTTGTCAGTTTGTCCCCGTCACTCTCTCTCTCTCTCTTTGGTGTCACACAGAATCCACATACTCTTTAAGTCCCATTCATTAGCACATGCTGGTGCCAAAAGTGACCTATGAATTTCACCCAGAGTATCTGTTCAGGTCAAGTAGCGCATTCAAGAGTACTACTGCAGGGCTCTGGGACTTAAACCTTCACTAGTTCACGACCTTAAGAAAAATACAGACATCTGATGGGAACAAGCCTCTACCTGTACAGAAAGAACCCTCTAGGGTTGAGGATCAATAATCCTTCAGTAATTTTCCCAGCATCTGATGTCTGACTCGCAAAGCACTTGAGCCAAATTGCTTCTTAGCTGCTCTTTTCTGTGATAAACAAGCTTTAATTGGCTCTATTGACCCAGTAAGTAAAACCCAGGTCAGAAAACTGGACAGTGCAAGAAAGTCAGCTCATCTGCTCAGTAGATAAGTATGGAAAAAGGGTCTCATACCCACAGCAGCCTGGTTCCAAACTGCAGACACCTTGATTGACAAGCTGATTGACAATGCTGAATGAGGCTGGCTGAAAAAGGAATCAATTATACAGCAAGATAAAGATTAGAGGACCCACCCAGTATCACCCAGTATCTCTGCAACCAGGACAACCTGCACTCCATGGTTTTGTCTTCCGGTCAGTCACTCAACCATATTCTACACATGCTTCAAAATACTGTACTTTTAGCCCATAGAAAAATATTAAATGTTCTTTACCCCCCTCTAGTGTTAGGAACTGATTTTCATTAGCTGATCCTGATTTTTTACAGTTGTAGGTTGAGAACAGCAGCTGATTTAAGCAGTCGTTCTGCCTTTATCTTGTGGACACACATTCCCAAATAAATATGTTATGGGCACAGCGATAGAGTTGAGGTAAATATTTCTCATTCCCTTTGTTACCGGCTAATGACTGTCAGGGGAATGACTGTTAGGAACCCTGGTTCATGAAGGACTGAAGGGTCTTCTGGCTTCAGTATCCTTCAGTTCTGAGCTGATTTAATGAAGTTATTATTAGAACAAAGTACAAGTTCACCTGGTGCTCCAGGTGTACATCAGATTCTACCAGGAAGGTAACCCAAAATCATGTAGACACCCAGACTCTACATAGTGGATGGTTCTCCGACCTGATTTAACAGGTCATGGGTCCACATGCTGAGTGATAGAGTAGCAGCTCCATCTGAAGGAATCCCAGAATGCTTCCATTGCCCACAAAGGTTTCCTCCACCAATCACCTGTAAGGGAGTCCGTCCCCCTTTTTTTCCTGGTGAACTGTCTCTAACAGCAACATCACAATATGCACCCATGGAATTACACACGTGTGTGCGTGTGCACGCACACACACACATACACACCCTTTTTACGACAGTACCCAAGCAACCAGCAAACTCCATCAGAACGTCGTTGTAAAGGCAATAAATCATTTCAGCCTCCATCTATTGTTATTGATGAATGGCCAATTATTTGTCACCTAATATGGTGAAAATTGTGACCTGAGAAATGGATGCGGTTCCCCCGCCATGGCCAAGGACAGCACCAATGATGGATTATGTGATTTAGCCGTTATTATGCTTTTAATGTGCTGCTTTGAAGTGACAGCGAAGCCAGGCACTCCTGCTTTTAAAAAAGCGTCATTTCCATTGTAAAATGACGAGAGACAACACTCATAATTCACGATATATGGCAGGCTGACGGAGATGAAATTGTTTGTTTTCCTCTTGACGGATTTTTACCTGACAGTGGGGGGGGGGGAGCAGGGGTGTAAATGCCTGTGTGCTGAGGCACAACTGAAGCCTGTCACAGCGAGCCACCATTTCCGCCACTCTCTTTGGAAAGTCTATCGGTGGAGTGAAAGGCTCCCCATTCAGGAAGATGCACTTCATTTGTTTTCCATTCCTCTCCTCTGGAACACAGGCGGGAACCTCAGGCGCCTGAAAGAGGAGAGCGACAGACCTTTAGAGAGGATGATAGCATGGGCCCCATCACCATCAACGGATTGTCTCTCCTTTTTAAAGTATTAAAGAAATTTTACGATAGTAATGACATTGATTAGTCTGTAATAGCTCATGTCATTAGTTTATTAAATGTATGCATATTAAAACCCAGGTTTATGCTTAAGCTCTAATTTTAGGGTAAATATACATATAACATATATATTTTAACTATGGGTGGGGTACAGGTAAATACACCACCCAAGAAAGGAGCTATTAAATAAAGCCCATAAATAAAGGCTGCAAACATTAAACATTATTAAAACATTAAACATACCAATTCACATTCCCTCCACCCCTATCCCGTCAGAAACAAAAGCAATCCCAAAATGCAAGTTTGTGACCTGCACACTCGATACTAAGAAATGCTAATGAGTCATGGTGCAATTCTGCAGCAATCCAATGTTTTGAGGAAAATGCAGGACATGTGGGAATTGCAGGAACATTTCTCCTTTAATAATTCATAAACCAATGCAGACTGCAGTCAGACAGCACTGCCGAGCCTTTACTCATACTGTACATCCTTATCAACGCTTTCCAATGAAAATTTACATGCTAGGAATTTTACACATATAAGACAACATCAGAAATCAAAATCTGATATGAGATCATTCCATTTTCTGCTGGGGATGGGGGGGGAGGGGGACTAAATTGAGATCATCAAGTTATAGTTACATATAAGTAAAAAGATGCCCAGAACGAAAAGTGCAAGACTGGAGTCTGGTTGCATGGAAACGCTTTACAAACAGGCATAATGGATCTGCATTATTCTACCTATCGGATGCCCTCCACAAGTGAGGAACAGGGGAATATAGCAGAGTGGAGGTCCACGTTTAGCCTCTCTAGGTAAGATGGCCCACAGATGCTGCCAAGATAACGCGAACAACTCTGTTGTACGACACTCACGGTCACACACGGGTTGCCTTGCCAACAGGACTCCCTATTCCCTATGGACACCCCCTGGCAAATTACACGATGAGGCATACGAAAGTCTGGGGAGGGCCTGTGAATAATGACAGCTTAAATTATAGATCAGAGATTGCAGCAACATCGCCAATTATGTTGCGCTAATTAAGTAATTATCGTATGTTTGCATGTGGGCTATTTAACCATTAGGGATAAACAATATCAATTTTCATACACTTCAGATCGTCTGTTATCTTGATGGGACTGCAGATTTGTTTTTAAAAATAACTGCATATTTTTACAACATTATTAAAATGCATAGTTCAAATAAATGTCCAACGTCACAATTATAGTCCTCCCAAAGGCAGACTCAGCTTTGAAAAATAAAGCTGTAATCCAATGCCACCATCAAAACATTTATCGAAACAATCCATATACTGCCTAAAATAAGTTGTAATTTTGAATGTGCAATTATGCATAATGAGAATCTCATTATGAAAAGCCTGTCCTACAATATAAAAAATTTAAATAAAATACCATGTTTAATAGCCCAGTTTGAACTCTAATATAATAAAACTCTAATTTTATAAATGCAGCTAAGCTGCTTTTTAAAAATAAATCACCCAGTACAAGGGGACAGTTAACATAATGCTATTTTACCTCAGATTAAATATTGCCAATTAACTATCAATTACACTGTAGAATGTATACACCCATTAGCCGTTCTTAATTAACCAAATGGTTCTAAATGCACACTTTAAAGCTTCAAAAGAGAACGTCTTCATGTAATCTAATATGCTAATAGAAGTGTTTTTTTTCCTTGTAACATTAGGAGTTTCACATATAATTCACATAAAAATTGGAGATTCCTTAATAGCCAATCCATTTACATTAACGTATTTCTCAGAGGAATCCCAGGTGTTTGCTAACAGTAACGTGACATGCCATATCAATCTGATATTCAAGTACCACATCTGTGCCGATATCGCATGTTAACATTTTCTACAAGCAACACAACAGTGTTCATGAGTATCTTTGGGGATTACACGCTGCCCTAGTTTACTGCATCTGAGTAGCAGGGAAAATCTTACTTACAATGTAAATAAACATAGAGACACACACACACACACACACGCATACAACTAAAGCAGCCAGTTTTAAAATGGGGTAAATCTTAACCTTCAAAGAAACACTCTCAATGTCACCGACAAATTAGCACGAGAGGCTTCAATTTCATCTTAAACTATTCCTTCATGGTAATTATTCCAGTAAACTAAGAAATATTTCAAAAGACCCAAAAGGAAAGCTATGATGGCATATTAAATTTGGTTGAAGGCTTGATTATTGCTTATATACAGAAATACATCGCAAATGTTTGTCAATGAGCATTTCCAAATTGCTTTGAAAGGATGGGAAATTCTTTGAATGGGACGAAAACGATGTTTGCTGCAGCAAGTCATTATCTTAAATTCTACTTATGATTTGCAAAAAATAAGTGTTAAAATTGGAGAAAATAATGAAATGGGTGCCAGGGTTATGGCTCTCTTACTTCTGCTGTTTGCTACAACAGGAATTCATGAAGGGACTCTAAGAAGGCAGGAAATTGTCATGCCAATATGCTGCTTACTCCGCTAAAGTCACCATGGTCAACATTTATAATCATATGAATCACTTCACAAGGTCCCTCACAATACCAAGCCATAAAAACAAGCTTCATAGCTGTTAAATTACACCTATGGATTTAAATGAAAATCAAACAAAATTAGCCAGGACAATAAAATTAACAGTAATGTTTATTATTATTATTGGTAGTGGAGGGAGTAGTAGTGGTATTTAGTTGTAATTACAATATTGTATTATTCAGCAGACAAATATTCACTATATAGACAAAAGTATTGTGATATCTGGCCTTTATGCCTACAGGAAATTTTATGACATCCATAGGCATTAATATGGAGTTGGTTCCCCCTTTGCAGCTTTAACAGCTACCATTGTTCTGGGAAGGCTTTCCACAAATTTATGGAGTGTGTCGGAGAGAATTTTTGCCCAATCATCCAGAAGAGTATTTGTGAGGCCAGGCACTGATCTTGAACATGAAGCCCTGGCTCGTCTCATTCAAAGGTGTTAGATGGGATTGAGTTCAGGGATCTGTGTGGGCTAGTCAAGTTCTTCCACACCAAACTCACCCTCTTTATGGAACTTACTTTTTGCAGAGTCATGCTGAAATGAAAAGAGTCTTCCTCAAACTGTTCCCACAAAGTTGGAAGCATAGAATTGCCCAAAATATACACTCAGTGACAAAAAAATACATGCGGCTATACGGTGCAGAAGGGAGTTGTACAGCAGTTGTATCTTCTCCTGTGGAAAGTTGGCCAACAGCTGTTGAAACTGGCCCTGGAGATCCTGCAGATTGACACTGCGTCTGAGTTGATGTCCGAGCTGATCCGACACAAGTTTGATTGGGGAAAGATCAGGGGACCTGGCTGGTCAGGGGAGCACCTCAACATGACACAGGCAGTCCATAGACATACATGTTGTGTGGATGGGCGTTGTCTTTGTTGAAAGACTGTACCAGGGTGTTGTCTCAGAGGGGTAAGACATGCGGATGCAGGATGTCACTGACATAGCGCTGTGCCATCAGGATACCCTGTGACTCCCCACATCATGATGGCAGAAGTAACGTCGGTGTGTCTCTCCACAACATTGGCAGGTTTGGTCGTCTCCCCTTGGCGCCGCCATACGCCCACATCTGTGATAATGCAGAACTGAGATTCATCGCTGAACATGGTACGATACCACTAGTCATCAGTCCATACCTTCCGGTGACAGCACCACTCCAAACACAGCTGTCTCTGCCTATGCATGGGATGGTGAACCCATAGTCTGGCTGATGCCAGTCGTCGAGACACAGTGCAGGCACAGATGTCATGGGTTTCTGTAATGCTTGGCACACAATACGACGATCCTGCCTTGGTATGGTTTGTCTTGGACAACCGGAACCTTCACGACATGTGTGGGTGCCCTCCTATGTCCACTGGTTCCAACATCGGGCAATTGTGACATCTGCATGCCCCACATGCTGGGCAATTGCACGATACGACCACCCGGCCTCATGCAAACCCACAATGCGACCTAGGCCTATCAAACTCTGTCAAGTGCTGGTAATGCTGTGTAATGCATCTACAAGGCATGTGTCTGGTGACTGGACATGCCAGCTCCTTGCAACTCGAATCATTTACATACGCATCGCTGGTCTGCATGTGTAGCAAATTACATCCAAATCAGACCAATACTTCTAGGTGCTTAAATTTTTTTGTCACTGAGTGTATATGGGTGTATGTATATATATACACTGCTCAAAAAAATTAAAGGAACACTTTTTAATCAGAGTATAGCATC